GGTTCAGTGTTCCTGGTACATCACTAAGAGAAAAAGAATGCACAGGAAAAAGGAAGCAAATTATCTAACAATGAAGATGAGCTGAGTTGCACCAAAGCATCCTACAGGTCTCAGGGTAGCACTAAAGGGTGATGGCAATTGAACTAAGGGCTGTCTGATGCTTCGTCTCAGGTGCTGGCTCCTTAGGTCACTGTGGTCTTCATATCTAGACATGGGGCAAGTCCTTTCATGGACTAGAACCCAAGTGGTAGCAACACTAAGCTGACCAGCATTATGGTACTTCCCATGCTGTGACATGATAGCAGGGAGAGCAGCTAATCCCTGACTTCGCCCAAGTCCCACAGCCACATCTCCCCAGCCTGTAGAGTCCAAAGCATGCAGCATTTGCCTGGAGGTGATTCTTAATGATTATGGGTAGGTGAGGTGGCTGTTCTGGTTTCCTCTGCCTAGTTCTGGTTGGCCTTTCATCCTGTCTGTACCAAAAAGCAACAGGGGCTGCCTGCAGGGTCACTCTGTGTGATGACAGTGAATTTAAGATCAGGCTTTCAATTCCACAGTAATAAATGGGTACCTTAGAAATCCTAGATTCAGGAGGTACATCGTGGGGTTTAGGATGCTCTGCCACTTGAGCAGACTAAGGCTTGACTATTGAAATCAGTCATGCTGGTGAAAGGAATTCCCTTATGTGTATCTGACAGTGGACTGGCCCAAGCACTTTACTGAACCATAAAAGTGGTCCCTGAGAGGAGCATTGCAATGTGCCTCCCCACCACACCCAAGGACTCCTGCTCTCACCATAGCCTCTTGGCCACGAGATCAAATCCAACACTAGGAAAAAAGGCAGCTGCTCACGTCACAGAGGTCTGACGCAGGTTGGGTTTCCTCTGTGTAACATGACGCCCACAGCCTCAGTCCTGACTAACACTCACCCAGGTGTAGTCACGAGTAGTTTTGAAAGACAATTTTTGACCAGCCAATGACTTTCTGCCCCTGCTAGCTCAGACTCAGAGATAAGCATCTCAGTACCTTGTTCCCATCAGCCACCCATGCCAAGCAAGCCATTTCCATCCCACTGTCTATACTTTGCTAACACTCGGCACCAACACAGCCGCAGTTATCAGAGATGGTGAAGGGGTACAGCTACTGGCCAAGCTTCATAGATTTCACAGCAGAGGGATTTGCATGGGGCTCTGCAACCCTTGTTAGAAACCTGCAGCAGAAACGGATGGGAACAAAATCAGGGAATTCCTCAATGGGGGTGTAATTTATTAGCAGAAGATGAAGCCCCTAACTTGTTCCAGATTGAGGCTTGTATATTTTGATGTTGGTTCTTTCCATTGTTACTACACGATCAGCCATGTCTTTCCCAAAGGCCCAAGGTGTGTGCAGCAGGAAAGCACATTCCCGCACCTGGGAAGGTCATGTCCTCAGCTATGAAACTGCTGATCAGTGGTGTCCATGAGTATTAATCAGACTATAAATGACAGCTTCCTCAGTACTCTTCCACATCTGCTTTTGGCTCCCCTCCCCCAGGTGCTTATTTTAATAACTCCCAGACTAGAAGAGTACTTAAGTTTATGACAGTGGCTAACCCATATTCTTTCCCTCCAGGTGCAAGTTTGTACACTCACACATGGCTGTATGCACACGAATTTTGCATGCTTGTAGGGGAAACTTCCTGAAAGCTTTACTGGCTGACTCAATGAGATTCTTTGTAGAGGTTTCAAAAAGTTTTATCTCCTCTGTGGCTGAGCGCAGAGCTAGGCAGCTTGTTGGTAGGAGCACTGGTTATGAGCTAACGCTGGAAAAGTGTATCTACTTTGTAAGCATGGCAGTGATGTGTGTGGCTTGTTCTGTAAAACACTTGTGACCCCACAAAAACCCTGTATAGTGCCTGGTAGGAAGTTTCTTCCCACCCAAAGAATGGGATGTCCAATCTGAACAACAGAGTGCTTTCAAAACTGAAATATGAATCCAAAAGTCAACTCGCACTCTGTGTTAGCTACTGAAGCCAAATGGAGATGGTGAGTAATGATTGTCTTGGGATGCCCTGGTAAAATGAGAACTTTTCTGGGTGAAAAAAAAATGTTTTTTGGCAATTATCAAGTAGTTCTTAGAATTTCTTCTAAATAAGCCTTTAGAATAGGTGCCTTATAACACTTTGGAAAGTGTATTTTCCAAGCTTTTCTATAAGGTTTTGTAAGTACTTTTTATTTTGAGATCTAAGTAGTTGTTAGGTTCTCACGAAGTACCAAATGCCAGTGATACTTTACAGCCTGGTCACACGATGTGTGTTACCAGATCAGAAGGCATAAGAAGAGCCTGTAACTATGTCACACGTATGGAAGAATACTGGGGCACTTGGCAATTACATTCAAACTTACTAATCAACACTAAACAAAAAACTGCTAACTAATTTGCAGAGGTAAGCTTCCACTTGGAAGCTAAATAACATATAAGACCCCAGTTAATGTAACAGATGCTACCCTCTATGTAATTATAAAGACATTGGCTTGTCATATAATCACAGACTGTAGAGAATTTACTGTTTTTCACTGTTTGTGGAATAAATATATCCCATCTGGGATGGCACCATCATTGGAAGCAATATAATTCTTCTCAACTGTTCAATATCCTGTAGATGAGATGTTTATATTGCATGCTAAAATGAATATAGAAAATACCAAAGGGGTTTACAATTATTCCAAAGAACTACTAGTCAATCATTACATCTCTGTCTCTCATGCACACACACAGACACTCATGTGCGTGCAGGCACACACATATGTACACACACTCATGCACACACATGCACACGCACACACATGCATGCGCACACACATACACACACACTCACATGGGAAGGAATTCTATTTCCTTTTGGTTAAGTAGCAGTTTCTTAGTCTTCTAAGTGGCAGGTGGGGAACTCTGTTTCCCAAACACGGAGCCCTGCACACACAGAAAATGCGCACAAATCCTGGGCATAAAATAAAAGAGGAGGAGAATGGCCCTGCCAGGAAGCTGCAGACCTGGGTACAATGTCCCCCTCCCCTGGGTGAGGGGTTGTTCAGAGAAGCACTGGAAAGGGGCCTGGGTAATGTCTGATCTGTTGTGTGATGGTTACAGTTCTGTGGTAGAAAGTCAGAGACAATCAAATTGAAACTTCTTCTAGGCAAAGGAGGCCAGGAAACTGGGTCTCTAACTTCCTGTGTCAATGCACAAAAGGAGTCTTGTGTTCTGTGCTTGGCTCTGCCACTGACTATATGTCCTTGGACAAGTCACATAACTTGCCTGTGCCATGGTTTCCTCACCTGTGCATGCCTATGAATATTAACTACACACCCTGTTATGCTGCTTTAAGATCCCCAGATAGAGAAGTATACAGAATAAGCAGCAAAGATGCTCCTCAGGGTTTGGCAGTGGCGAGAAACACTGCTCAGCTCAGGGCAAGCTGCAAATGAAAGATCTGCGTAGTGTTATAAGCAGTCACTTTTTGAATCATGTAGGAGATGCTCTTGCAGGTAGGGAGAGCGCATGTCAGTTCCCAGTGTACCCTGCCCTCGACCCAGGGAGGAAGCCAGAAGAGTTTCAGAGATGGGCAAAAAACAGAGATCAGGCTGGTGGTACAGACTGGCACAAGTGCAGTCCCAGGAAGGAGGACAGGCGCACAGCTGCACTAAAACCTCCCCAGGCATCAGAAACTGGTTTGCTCCTGAGGGCGGCAAATCCATGCACAGGTCCTGGAGGGAAGCCTTGATGTGCACAGCTACTGGAGGTAAAACATAGTAGTGTTGTCTTCCAGGGTCTAACACTTACTATGCATTTCTGCTTTAATTAGTCTATAAGGTGCAAATCTACCCTCCCTTCCTTCTGACTTCAGACTAACTAACATAGCTAACATTACCTTTCTCTAACATCTGCTAGTCATGGGTTTTGGGATGCCCAGTTTTGGGCTGTGGTTGGTTGTTGGTACTTGTTCACAAGAGGCATGTGCACGTAGCTGTGAACATGCCCAGCCAGTGCACAGCTTCATTTTGCACGCTGCGGTACACTTAGGGTGTGTCTACATGTCACCCTATGGTGATGTAGCAATGGGCTACATTACCGTATGGTGTGCTATGGCAACATAGCGATCATGCAGGGCTACACGTGATCACCAGCTACGTCACCATAGTGGCGTGCTCCCCTGGTCTGGCATGTTGCAATGGCGATGTAGCAGTGAAATCTAACCATGCACTGCGCATACGGCGCAGAAACCACCTGTATTGCACCGTGCTTTAGTACTTCCAAAAGGAAGTGCTAAACACGGCACCCTAGCAGGCAACGTATAGACATGCCCTTACACATCCACACTGCTGGATAACAGAATTGTCGCCTGGGCATAAGTACCAAAAAGGCTACTTAGACCACAAAAAACCTGCCACTTAGATGATCCCAGGAAAATAGCATTCTTCCCATCAAACAGATAATAACTTTTGTTCTTCTTCTAAAACCAAAGCTAGTCAAAAAGCTTCTCTTAAAATATCTTTCTGACAAATACCTTATTTTTTCCCCACCAATTGATTTAATTTTAAATCATATTGGTAGAGCTTTCCCATTAAAAAGCAAGAATCAGAAACTTGCATTTTTAGTAAAATAATTTGGTCCTTTTGGTTTGCAAAACCTGAAAATGTTTACACCCAACAAGTTTGGAAACATGATTTTTTTTTAATTAAAAAGTGGGGGAAAAAAGAGAAAAAAGAAAAAAATAACAACCTTGACAATTTCACACAAAAAAATTGGCATTTTTTTACCAGCTCTTGTCCAAGCATTGGATGTTGCCATTTAAACTAGGGGCTCTCTACCTTTTGTGGCAGCAGGAGAAAGACTTTTATCCTGATCTTTTTGGCCTAGTCACTAGAGGGTGACATCACTCACTACCTCATGTGTATTTATGCAGTCAATGCGTGACCTCGTAAGAAGCAGTAACTATAAATATACAGGAAGCAAAAAGAGCTTACAGCACCACGAGACTGCTGAGATTCTGGAAGGCATAGTCAGGAATGTGCCCGATCTGGTTGAGAGCCAGCGTCATGGCCTGCAGGGCTGGAAGGTTATTGAGAGCTTGGACAGGGATCTCCGTCAGAGCGTTATCATCCAGCCACAGGTGACGTAAGGACGGCAATCCCTCAAAGCTCTTCTCCGGCACCAGAGAGATAAGGTTTGCATCCAGGCGTCTGGGTGGGAGAAAAACAGGGTGGGGATTAATTTGAGATTTACCCAGCGTTACTTTGTGTGTCCATGTTATTATTTAAGGAGTTTCCAGGTTGCTGGTACAAGACAAACTGAAGGCCTGGAGACTGAGCTAGTCTGTAAAAATGAGTTAAAGCAAGGTAAGACATGGTATAAGGCTCCTGGTGGCAACAGCTCCGCAAACCTGATGGCCGGCCATTCTTCCTGACCCTCCTGGTCCTTTGTCCCTCTGCTGAGCCTGAAAACTGATGCCAATTCTGATGTTATTTTTAATAATAATAGAGTAAGACCCATCATCTTACTTCATACAGACCCAACACACAGCTCTCAACTAGACATGACTCAAAGGCCCAGATCCTCAAAAGTATTTAGGCTGGATCGATCCTTTGAGGATCCAGTCTGCAGTCACTGGTGTCCTTGAACATTTAATCTAGATACCCAAGACTTTACCCACAAAACTAAAAGAAGCAAGAACCCAAGATCAAGGGTTAGATCTAATCTCATAATATGAGAAACTTTTCTGGGTGCCAAAAGTTTGGCTCTTCCATTTTACTCTCTACCCAAGATTTGCTGCCTACTTTGTCAGCTGTGAAAGTTTGAAAGCTAAAACAGGTTGGAAAATGAAACTTCTGCTCCATAGTAAATTCTGACATTTCAAAAGTTGTCTTCATTCCAAATCAAAATTAAAAGACAACATTTTAAAATTTGCCAGGGGAAAAAAAAATCCAGAAAAAAACCTGATTTGGACGCATATAAACATCATCAAAATGTTTTGTTTTGACGATGTCAAAACAGCTTGCTTTGATAACGTGGAATCACTTTGTTGATTCGCTATGAAAAAACTGCTTCATTTCATCAGTGTTGAAACATCATAATTTAAAACAGGTTACAACTTAAATATTAAAATTAATATTTTTATGCACTGTAAAAGTTGAAACGGAACGAATCAAAACAACACAGCTGAACTGAAATACCTTTAGTGAAATGAATGGTTTCAACATTATTGAAATTAAGCAAGAAAATTAAAGGGAATCAATTCAATATTTTTAGTTAGAAAACTGACAAAATTGATGCGTTGCTATGATATGGTTCATATTCTATGAAACTGCTCCACTGAATTTTTTCAGTCAGCTCTACCACCAGCTGTCTGGCTAAAAGCAAGCTAAGACAATTATTTTTGTGACCAAATCTGCTGACAACTCCATGGCAAAGAGCTCACAATCATGTTCAAATCTCACTGTGGTTGCAGTAAGTTAAATTCATTTACCCATAATGGATAAATAGACTAGTTTGCAGTATCGTCCTGCCCAGAACGGTCTGTCTCACTGAAAAACAGGATGACCACGGACAAATCCTGCCTTAATAGATTCACAGATTGTAGAGTCGGAAGGGACAATTTATATCCCATTAAAAGTGTACATATAGTGTGTAAATCAGGGCAACGTATGGCACATTTTCTTGAAATAAAAATCCAAGAGACCAGAAAAACTAAACCTACAGAAGCTTAGGATTTCATTAGACAGAAGCTAATGACCATTTTTCTTCAAGCATTTTGGGGAAATTATTTTTTTAAATCAAAATTAAAACTTGTGGAAAAAAGTGTATTTGGTTGAAATCGTCTTTTTTTTTCATCGAAAAGGAGAACAAAAGTATTGCTTGTAATGTTCTGCTTTTTTCTTTTTATTTACTAACGAATCTTATCAAATAAGAAATGTAATATTTAAAGATACATCCAACCTCCTCAAATGTATATAAAGTCAGATATTTATCTTCCACCAACAGTGCTCCATTAACTCACGTCAATGCCCACAGGAGTCTGGAGGGTTTTTTTCTTCTCTTTTTTTAGTCTCTGACAGTTCCTTTGTGTTTCAGTTGATGTGAAGCTTTTGTGTTTCCACGTCTCTATATAATAATTCACACGTCCTTTTTCCTCAGCACCCTGCATGATACAAATCTCACGCATATTTACTTTGAAATTTTAAATGTATTCCAAATTTGTTCTTATGTGTTAGCTCATACAACTTGCACTTTTCTTCAGTATGCAAAAATATTTCTTCAACGTTTTGGTTTGGAGGTAGAAGATTTTGTTTTAACCACTTTCTAGGACTATCCACCGCATTTCTAAACAAGCCTCTTTTGTCCCTTCTACCCTGCAGAGCACTAACTTGGTAGGACAACTTTTCCATTACTAAAGCTTCCCGAATTTTTCAAAACAGTGATTTTAGGTGTGTCACTTCTCTTCCAGGCTTTTGCAACCGTAATTCTTGCTGCCACTAGAAGGTGAGTGATCAATTCTTTATGACTCTTACCTGCTGCAGCGTTTTCAGAAAGATTCAATAAGAACGCAAAGGGGTTATCTAATAGGCCTGTGTGAAGCGGCTAGTATTCGCTTCAGATTCGGCCGAGTTGGGGGACAGTGATTCGAATCGCTGTCCTGATTCGATTCGGCCGAACCTCCGAATCAGCCAGGCCAGGCCCATCCCCCGCCCCCTCCCAGCCCGGCAATGGCTGCTCTGCCTGCCCCAGCTCCTGGCACTTGGGGGAAAAAAAGCCCTGGCTCAGGGGGTAGTGCTGGGCGTGGTGCTGGGCGGGGGGGCGCTCCCCACTGCCTGACGCTGCATGGGGGGGCTCTTCATGAGCCCCCCGAACCCCCCAGCCCCCTCACGGGTGCCCTGCCAGGGCCAGATCCAGGCCTTTAAGAAACACGCCCAACCCCCCGAA